TAAGCGCAGAACCAGGCCAAACTGGCCCCTCCTGTTTCTAGCAAGATACTGTACTGGGTCATCTTTCGAGACAAAAGAACAGAACGCAAGTCATGCAGCTGAAGCATGTGCAGAGGAAAAAACTCTGATCTCAAACAACAGCCGGAATCAAAGCTCCCCAGCCCCGCACCTCACCTCTCACAGAATGAAAGGACACAGACATGACCAGAACCTGAATGCCAGAGCCCTTTGGGGCACGAAGGGTCCGTTGTCCGTGAAGATGCAGTACGAAGCCGCTTTACCGCGTCTTAGCATAAACACCAAGCTCCAAAGCCCTCCCATAGAAACCTACCCCCCCAGCACTTCCGCATCCAATCCTCCTCCCCTAACTCATCGAAGTTTGACAGAAGCCCAGACTGGGGAGACACATCTGAGCTTTGCCTCCTGTCTCCTTTCTTGGCCATCCTGCAATAAAGGCTCTTCTCTCTGCAAAGGACCATTGCGTCCCGTGGTATCTGGTCCTCTCCTTGCGGGTAACACCATAAATGAACACACTAATTCTATGGGGCTCCTCAGACTGTACTCGGCTTCCTTTGACTTTCAAACACCCTGACCTTGGTGAGAATGCTCTGACACCCCTACCGGTCCCTGAGACCTCAAGGATCCTTGCCTTGATTTACCTCTGCGTTTGTTTCAAAAGTACCTGGTATTTGACAGAGATGTTTTGCATCTGTGCTTTGAGAGATATGCAATGGCCAACCACCCTGCACTGGTTCGGACTTGACCACAGGAACGCGCCTTTGCAGACGAGACCTGGAGGCATCCACAGTTACCTCTGCTTCCTTACCATGCTAAGTTCTCCGCCCCAGGTGAGGATTTGTACTCTGAGAGGCACAATTAGTGCCCTGTGCAAAGAAACCTGGAAGACTGCACATGTCCCAGCTGCCCACAGCCCCACCCCTGGAAATCTTCGCCCCTTTCCTAGAGGCTTGACGACATGCCTGCCTCCTAAACCTTAAAATTACCCTCCTCCCCTCCCTTCAGAGGGAAGGTGCGTTTAGAGCAGGAGCTCTCCCTTCTCCATTCATTGATCAATGAATAAAGTTTCTACTCAGCTTTATCGAACCTGGTTTCCTTTGATTGGCATTTGCAATTCCAGGGAAAGGACCCACTGAGGGGTCACTGACCCATTGGGGATAGATAACAACTCTCTGCTTCAATAACTGACCCGATATCACTACATTTCAGAATGTGAGTCCTGAACACACACAGCACACTGTGAGTTCAGGACATCAAAGGAGAGTTAGGGAGAAAAGCTGTTAGGGGCTGCTGGTGGGCCTGACTCTATAAAACAGGAGGGTTAACAGCACATTTATCCAACAGCTAAGATCAGGAATTAAACCTTAATTCTCTATAAGAATAGCAAGTAGAAACTGGATCACGTTTAAAGAAAAGTGGGTATCACCACTGAAGAGTGAAAAATAAATCAATTCTTCAATCACATCGGCAAAGTTTCCTGGGGAGAAAATCCAGTGGCGTTTTATATTTTTCTTAACCTATAGCCTCAAACTCTACCCACCCGACTCACCATGTACAATCACACACACAGACATGCATGCACACACGCACACACACTCATGTACGTGCACACTGCTGCAAAATATTTAAACCCCACCACCAGCTTCAGTTGTATCGTTACACTGTGCCTATCAACATTTTAGCTTCTGACAAATGCAAAACATTTTCGGGTGTTATTTATTCTATTTCTTCTTCCAATACTGAGTGCAATGAATATTATTTTTTACCTCACTCAATACTCATTATAGTTCTCTCTTCTTCATCAATAAATCAGACTGGTTTTTTTCCATGTAAGCAATGTCTCTTCAACTCATTGTCCTAGATAACTTATCATAACCAAAACTTCTCAAGAGAAGAGATCTGCATTAGCTTTAGACCCCTTTCAGAGTTTTTCTAGGACTCTAATGGAAACTCCAAGGCAAATATAAAAAGTCTCCCTTCATGTGGCAGATGAAGTCATTTCTAAGGGACATATATTAGAAGGGAGTCTTCTCGTGGGAGCCTGTCCTGTGAGACAGGAATAAAGATACTCTGACAGCCCCTCCGAACAACAAACCTTCTGTGCCTCAAGTCACATGACCATGTGAACATAGCCTAAATAGACACAGGAATAATCCTCTACCAACTCTTATCAACTAGCAGGTACATCCACAAACTCAACACTTTCCTTATTTCCCATTTAGTTGCAAAGAAGTATCTGTCATAAGACGATCATGATCTTTGTTCTGCTGGGTGTCTTCACATAGCTGGGTTCTTCCCACCTGTTCCATGAATGGACACACAGACATACAGTTACTTACAGGCAACCCTCTCACCTACCGCAGATCAGTGCAAATACATTCAGTATTTGGCTTCAGCTCCTTCCTAGTAAGTCAGTCATACACTGGAAATAGGACCTTTAAGCCTGCCAATGAAGAAAACACCACAGTTTGAACTATGACTGTTGAAGGAACCTAGGAAAAGTAATTTTGTTTACAACCTGTTAGCTAGTTAACATAAAACTTATGTTTTAGACATCAGAGGACTGGGCATAAAATAATGAAGTTACTGTTTCAATACTGATGCCCTTACAATCAGCGAATAGTTAGACAACGTTTTTGTTTTTTGGCTTAAAAGTATATACTTTATTCTTTTACAAGATGAGTATCAAAATCGAAATAACTCCTTGTCTGTATTCAAATAATTAAGCCATTTTAGGGGATCTCACAAGAGAAACTTTTTTTTAAAACAAAGACCTATAAATTGTGATATAGTCATGCCCCTAATTTACACCATTGGTAAATTTCCATGTTTACTTGCTAAGATATTTTATTAAAGTCAAGCCTTCTTTTATTACCTAAAAAGGTAGTGACTAATCATGAACCAGAGCTTCTGACAACAAAGGAAAATCCACCTCTATCATCCTCCAGTGCTTGCTGTCGCCTCAGAGAAAATGTTGATGGATTTGGGGTATAAGAAAATATAGGAAACTCTACTTCTTGTAACTAAAGATACAACAGGAGCTCCCCTGGAAAGCCCATCATAGTAACACTCCACTAGCAGCCTTTCTTAGCCACAGGGAAAGGCCTGAAGGATAGATCACCATCTCCTTGCTACAACAAGCTAAAATAAGGAAGGTTCTGGATTCCCCACTCCCTCATTTCTTTCTGTGGCCTCTTTGAAAGAAGCTCCTTAGATGTGGATATATGTATATGTATGGCTGATTCACTTTGCTGTAGAGCAGAAACTAACAACATTGTAAATCAACTATACTCCAATAAAACAATTAATTAAAAAAATAAAATTTTTAAAAAGGAAGCTCCTTAGGAAGTCTGTCCAACTGAAGCCTTTTTCATTGTCAATGTTATTGAAAGCTATTATCGATCACGGTCCTAAGGAACAAAGCTATTGTTTTCTCTGCTTGCTGCTCTCAAACAAGGTGACCTCAAGCCCTGTACTGTGAGAGATCACAAATTCCGGTTCTGTAAGGCGTAGAGCACATGAAACCTTAAAGCAGATGGCCTGAGCAGCATCACAGCCGGTAAAGGCTCTTCTCGGAAAGCAGCTCACAGACCGAAGCATGCATCCCAGGAGAGATAAGTCCCAAAGCCCTTCTGGTGACCCTGAGTGGAAAGTGAAATGGATGTTTGTTCTGCAGATGGATTCTCTTCTCATTCTGTTCCCGGCGAATTTAAGGTTCATTCTTCATCGCGAAAGAATGCACAGACGAAGCGACAGGTAAGAATCAGATTTATTCAGAGAGGAACACACTCCACAGACAGAGTGTGGGCCATCTCGGAAGGCAAGAGGCAAGATGCTTCAAAATACGGTGTGGTCAGTTTTTATGGGCTGGGTAATTTCATAGGCTAATGAGTGGGAGGATTATTCCAACTATTTTGAGGAAGAGGCAGGGATTTCCAGGAACTGGGCCACCACCCACTTTCTGGCCTTTTATGGTTAGCCTCAGAACTGTCATGGTGCTGGTGGGTGTGTCACTTAGATGCTAATGTATTACAATGAGCATATAATGAGGCTCAAGGTCTACTGGAAGTCAAGTCTTCCACCATCTTGGACCTAGTTGTTTCTCACTAGTCTTTGTCATGTACTATGGCTATGCCATTCTTTTAAAGGCTGTGCCCTGCCCCCTTCCCTCCTGTTTCAATTCCATTCCCTGTGGCCATTACCCTGGGAACGTTTGGAGGTTGGGTTGATATAAACAGGCTACTGAACAATTGGTGGGTTTGAAAGATGTGGATTCTGGCTACTTACCAAGATCTGAGAGAACCTTAGCTTATGCTGCCGTCAGAGCCCTAACAAATAGAAGAAATCCATGCAGGACCCCCAAAAAACAAGCATCAAATAGGCAAAGGGCTGCTTCTCCCCAGGAAATGGGAACTAGTTTGAAAGGAGTAATTCAGAAATAAAGATGAATTTCAGATGGAGCCTGAAGGGGTTCCCTTGGGAACCATTTAGGAAAGCTTGAGTTCTTTAAGAGCAGCCGGGGAAAGGGGAGTGAGCCGCCCTTTTCTCTCACAAATTAAGTACAAGCCTCCTGGATTCCAGGCACTGGCAGGCACCATTTAACATGACAAAAGGCAGAAAAGCCTCAGCTACTTACAGTCCCAGGAGGGAGGCAGGTGGCCAGCACTTTCTGGTCTCCACACCCTGTCACAGAAAATGAGTCACAGTGAACCTAGTTCGGAGCCCCGTGAAACTACATTTATTCAGGAACCACTGTGTGGGCCAGCCCAAGACAAAACCGTGAACCAGGTGAGGGTGGCCAGGTATCCTCCCAACGTACACTTTTCCAGCCCCCGTTGGCTCCTGAGCACAAGTGGAATGTTATCTCCTCTCCCCTGAGATACATGATTTTTCTGGTTTGTCATATCGCTAGGATGTTTCAAAGAGAATTAGCATCAGGACCACCTCTATCCAAGTCACAGAAACACCTCCAAGCCCAGGACGCAAATCTGCATCCCCAGGTTGGAACTCTCTCCTTAATTCCCATAGCCTGTCTCCTTTGTATTTTTACCTGCATGTCTCAGAAGTACCTCCGAACTCAGCCTAGACACAACTGAGTAGTTCCCCAATCCAATCCTACAACACCTCCAGGATTCCCTGCCTTGGTTAAAACACCACCATCCAGAGAATTCCCTGCTGGTCCAGAGGTTAGGACTTGCTTCCACTGCAGGGGGCCTGGGTTCAATCCCTGGTCAGGGAACTAGGATCTCACAAGCAGCTCGGCCAAAAAAAACCACCACCATCCAACAATTCACCGAAGGGAGAGTTCCTCCTGTAGGGAAGCAAAATTTGCCACCCCAAAATCTGTCTCTTTGGCATGAGGATTATTGTAGGCTTGTTGTTTAAAAAAGAAAAAAGGTTCAGGAATAACTTTTACCTCTTCCCTCTTAACTGCCTGAAAGAATTTAGATAGGGGACCCATCCCAGGCAGAGAGCCATCTGTAGTATAATAGGAAATAGCTGTGGTAGACACAGAAGAACCTAGCAAACTGCGCGTGTTACAATTTTTCTCTGTGTCCCATTGTTTCTACATGGCCCAGCAAACGTGTGTTTACCAAACATTTCCTCTTTTTTCATCTTCCTGTGACTTGCCTTCCTTCCTTTTGAAGTCCCATACCCCTGTCCCCTTCTCCTTAGTCCAGAATGACATACACTAAGTCCCCTACATACGAACCTTCAAGTTGTGAACTTTCAAAGATGCAAATGTGCCCCTGAATGCCAGCTGTTGTACTGTACTACTGTACTTTTCAAGGTATTGTAAGATTAAAAATGTTTTATTTTTTGTGCTTGTTTTTTATGTATTATTTGTGTGAAAAGTATTATAAACCTGTTATAGTACAATACTATATAGCCAATTATATTAGTTGGGTACCTTTGTTGGACTTACAAACAAATGGGACTTATGAACACGCTCTCAGAACGGAACTCATTCGTATGTAGGGGACTTACCATATATACCTCATTTTGCCTGTTTTTGGAATCTCCCATGTTTGTGCAGATTCTCCATACATACATAATTAAATCTGATTCTCTCCTGTTAACTTGTCTCAAGTCAATTTAATTCATACACCAGCTAGAAGAACCCAGAAAGGGTAGAGGGAAATTGTTTCCTTCCCCAACACTCCCCTCAATCCAGTCTCCAAAGCCTAACAATCTTCTTATCTTTAAAATGTGTCTCAGACTTCCCTGGTGGTGCAGTGGTTAAGAATCTGCCTTCCAATGCAGGGGACATGGGTTCAATCCCTGGTCCAGGATGATCCCATATGCCGTGGAGCAACTAAGCCCGTGCACCACAACTACTGAGCCTGTGCTCTAGAGCCCACGAGCCACAACTACTGAGCCTGCGTGCTGCAACTACTGAAGCCCACACGCCCAGAGCCCGTGCTCTGCAACAAAGAGAAGCCACCACAATGAGAAGCCCGCACACCGCAGTGAAGAGTAGCCCCGCTCGCCACAATTAGAGAAAAGTCCACACGCAGCAACGAAGACCCAGTGCAGCCAAAAATAAATGAATAAATTTATATTTTTTTAAAAAAGCATCTCTTCTCTCTAACCCCATCACCTCATTACTGAGAACCTTCCAGGTTACAAAATTGAAGTAATTCCTTTTAGTTGTGATTATTACTATTATCATTTTGGGGTTTTGCTATTTGGAAGAATCAAAGATTAATTATTTTTATTTTGGAAGTTAATTATTTCTCTAATAAAAGTGGAATAAGTGAGGCTTTATCTGGAACTCCTGAGAAATAAGACCACTACTTTCTTACAGAACTTTCTTCAAGGGACATATATCAACTGAAACAGAAAATAACTCATAAGTTTATGTACATTCACTAAACCAGACAACACAGAATGGCACATATAAATCATAAACCCAGGAGAACTCTGACAATGATTTCTGCCAGGCAGGCCAGTATTTTAGACCATGTGATGCTGGCTATCTTCTATGTGCGCTCTTATATTGACTCTCAACCTTTCTCCACCCCAATGTGGGCCCCAGGTGTTCGGCTGGAAGAGACTGCATTAGTGATTGCCTCCTGGCTTCTGGTAGGATTTAGCCAACAGAAGCATCGGGCTGAAATCAGAGGAGAGAAGAAGTGAAGTCTCTCCCCCTCAACTCCCTCCCTTCCCAGTCGCTCTGACGGGCTGCCTCATCCTCTCCCAAAGGGGGAGCTCTACCTGGCAGCCTTCTCCCCAGAGCCTCCCTCTCTGGGTTCCAGTAACCACCTCTTCCCCGTGCCTCTTCAGGCCACGATGGCATCAGCTCCCCACAATTACTAACCCGCAGCACTACATTATCCTCTCTCGGTTCCCTTAAACCTCATCTACACCTGGGCAAACAATCCATTATTAAACCCTCCTGAGAATGACTAGTTTGAGGTACCATTTGTCTTCTCACAGGATCCTGACTGATAAAGTAATTGTTGCCTGGAGCGGTCCTAGGAAAAAGACTGTAAAGTAGAATTCTGGGATGTGAAAAGTTCACAGATAGCTTGTTAAGAGAAAATGGGATTCAAGTCACGCATGGCAAGTGTTGGCATCACAGTTACTGAAATTATCACAGGGCATGGGATGCCCTACAGGTTGGCAAGTTGTTGAGAAGGAAACTGTCTGGGACTCATCACTGCTATGGTAACATGCTCATAAAATTAATGGGATTGATGATAAAGATAAAGTGGGGTCAGCTGGCTTCTGATGGCCCTAGAGAGCGCACACAGAGAAAGGAAGAAACTGGAGTTTGTGATAATCCAACTCCAAACACAAGTGGAAAAACAGAGAGATTCTATGGCAGGATTTATAGAGTGTCTTATCCTACGCAGTCACAGAGAAGATACGGCTGGGTACCGCAAGCCTGATCTTAGGAGATGTCAGTTATAAAACCTAGAAGTCTCAGCCCCACCATGTCTCTGCACCAAGATACGGTTATCAGCGGGTGGAGAAGGAGTGGGAACCTGAGGTACGGGAGGGGGTCACCTGAGCAGTCAGAAATGAGGCTGAGAATGTTGAACCTTCCTTAAGAGTGGAGTCAACCCCTTCCGAGGGAGAAAATAAATTCAGTGACTGTTCCTGTACCTGCTTTAAAAATAAATGCTTCTGGGGCTTCCCTAGTGGTGCAAGTGGCTGGGAGTCCGCCTGCCGATTCAGGGGACACGGGTTCGTGCCCCGGTCCGGGAAGATCCCACATGCCGCAGAGCGGCTGGGCCCGTGAGCCATGGCCGCTGAGCCTGCACGTCCGTAGCCTGTGCTCCGCAACGGGAGAGGCCACAACAGTGAGAGGCCCGCGTACCGCGAAAATAAATAAATAAATAAATAAATAAATGCTGCTTCTCCTCAGGACCCAGCCCTACAAACGTTTCTTGCCTTCACATTCATAACGGGAGTTCACCACTAACAGAACCCAGACAAAGCACAGGGTCTGCTCCAGGATTCTGAATAGCACAAATGCAAGTGATCTGAAGAGTGTGACACCAGGAGAACTGAAATATAAAGCTTGACTGGATTGCATTTACTGACAAGGGTACACTTCCCCAGGAATTAGAATTTCATGAATTGGCTTCAGCGCCCGGGAATAGTGTTAACAATCTACTGGACTGGTTAACTGAAGCCTGGACTCAACAGTGACAAGTAGTCAATGAGGTTAAAAATGCCAAAAATTCTCTGGTTTACCGCAGAAGGAATCCAAAGCCTCAATGAGATGGAAACGTGGGACCGGATCTATTAGGACCAACCTACTCAGCCACCCCTATCCTAATCTTAGCCTCTAAAAGGACCAGAGGACACACTCTTCACCAAGACATTAGGAAATTAAGACAGTCATTGACGAGATGGGAAGATATTTTTTGGTGGGGAAGCGGGTACCCAGCGTATCTGAGAAGCTCTGTGGTAGCTATCCTCTATACGCCACTGGAAATCGGGGGATATGCCACAATGGAACTGTGCTCGCTGGTTTCAGTGGAAATGATGGGATCCCTGAATAGTAGAAGACAGATGGTAGCCTTTGCCAGCACAGACAAGGTGAGCACAGTTACCACAATAAGCCACAAAGGCCAAGTTGTTATCAGAGGGTTTAGATTCACAGGACTCTGGAGGATCATCTAATTGATCATGAAATCCCCAGAATATAAAGGATGCTGCTCTGCATTTATAGGTAGAAAAATTCTAGGTCTGCTGGGAAGACACCTAACTCAAGTTTTTGTAATGAGGAGTTAACAGCCTCTTAAATAGTTCCCACACCTAAATAAGTTCAAAGACCCAGAATTCCTTGGCTAATAAGCAAGAACTTTGGGGAAGGATCCTGTAATGCAGTCACAGATATGCACCATAAATCATCCTTCCAGGATTCCCTAGAGGTGCCTTACAGCCATTTAAGAGAATAACTGGACATTAGGAAAGGTAAAATACCAAATCTCCTGGAGTTACTAGATATGGGCTCTGAAGTGACCCTATTCTCCAGAGATCCAAGATTCCACTGTGGTCCACCAGGCAGAGTACAGGCTTAAAGAGATCCTGGGGTAAATGGAGTCTTGGTCCAAATGGACTGTCCAATGCGACCAGAGACCCATTCTATCTATGGTTATTTCCCTAATCCCAGAATGCAGAGTGGGAATAGATATATGTAGTAACCAGCAGAATCTCCACTTGGGTTCCCTGGCCTGTGAAGTACAGGTTATTTGGATAGGAAGGGCGGAATTGAAGCTTTTCCAAGATAGTAAACCAAACACCGTATCACGTCCCTGGTGTAACTGCAGCAATTTGTTCCAAAATCAAGCATGTGAGAAATGTAAGAGATGGTATTCTTTTTTTTCTAATTGTTTAAAAAATTATGGTAAAAACCACATAACATATAATTAACCATCTTACCCACTTTTTTTAAAAGATATTTTTGTTTGTTTTTGCGGTACGCAGACCTCTCACTGCTGTGGCCTCCCCCATTGCGGAGCACAGGCTCCGGACGCGCAGGCCCAGCGGCCATGGCTCACAGGCCCAGCCACTCCGCGGCATGCGGGATCCTCCCGGACCCGGGCACGAACCCACGTGCCCTGCATTGGCAGGTAGACTCCCAACCACTGCGCCACCAGGGAAGCCCCCATCTTACCCACTTTTAAGTGTACAGTTCAGTAGTGTTAAGTATATTCACATTATTGTATAACAAATCTCCAGAGCTTTTTCATCTTGCAAAACTGAAGTGACACCCACTAAACAACTCCCCATCCCCCCCCAACCCTCGCAACCACTACTCTACTTTGTTTTTATGAATTTGACTACTTTCGAAACCAGGGATGGTATTCGTAACACAACACAATTTAACACTTGCAGTTTTTGCCCAGTGGAAAAACCAGAGAGGGCGCAAAGAGGACTCTAGACTATCACACACAGGAGCAGTTAGTGATGGCGATCACTGCTGCAATTCTGATGTGGCGTCATATCACTGGAGTAACCTAGCACAGCCCCTGGCGATGAGTGAGCACACAGAAATTGTTTTTCATTCTTATTCCAAGTATAGTCAGAGGTAGTTGCCTTCATGTAGTAGGAAGAACAGTACAGCTATCATGCTTTGCCTCAGAGCTGTACCTACAAAAACCAAAATACAACAGACAGATTGGGAAGACAAAGAAATGATATGGGAAATAAAGCTTAGTAAAAAAACTAACATCTCATATCAGGATATTTATATCAGAAAAATAGGACCTCTTTAGAAAAGAAGAAAGAGAGAGGGAATTATCTAAGAGAAAAAATGTTAATATCCCTGAAGATATTAAACTGAAGAATATGAATTTCTCAAATGAAAATGTCGATAAAGTACCCAACAGAAGTGAATGAGAAAACACACTAAAGCACATCATCATGAAATTTCAGAAGCCTGGGGATGAGATCTTGAAAGCATCCAGAAAGACAAAACACTTCAATACAAAGGTTCAGTAATGGGGACGATTTCAGACATCTCAACAGCACTGAAAACTAGAAGATACTGGAGAATTGCCTTCAAAATTCCAAGGAAAAATATTTCTAACGGAGGAAAACACATGTACATATGTTATGAGCTGAATGTTTTTGTCCCCCCAAAATTCATATGCTGAAGCTCTATTCCCTAATGTGACTATATTTAGAGACAGAGCCTCTAAGGAAGTAAGGGTAAATGTGGTCATAAGGGTCGGACCTGATCCCATAAGTTCAGTGTCCTTCTAAGAAGAGACCTAGAGAGCTCGCTGGCTCTCTTTCTGCACCAAGAAAAGTCCATATGAGGACACATCAAGGAGGCAGCTGTCTGCAAGCCAGGAAGACTTCTCGCCAGAAGCAGAAGCAACTGGAACCTTGATCTCAGACTTCTAGCCTCCAGAACCAGAGGAAATACACATCTGTTGTTTGAGCCACCCAGTCTGCGGTGTTCTGTTACCGCCTCCTGAGCAGACTAATATATAGTTGAAACCATTCAAGTAAAACGGTAGAATGAAAACATGTTCAAACACACAAAATCTAAAAAAATTAACTGACATGTATCCTTTTTCTAGAAGTTTCTGGAAGATGCACTTGACCAAGTATGGGAGTAAACTGAGAAAGAAGAAGGCATGGAATCCAACACAGGAAAGAGGCAAAAAGAACTTCGAGGATGATAACAAAAGGAAAACCAGCATTTGGAAACCATTTTGGAGAGAATCTATCCAGATTGGGGCAGGAGAACTCAGGGCTACAGAAAGTAAGTCACCAAAGGGAAAGAGAGAGAGAGAGAGAACACAAGGAGGGGAGGAGGAAGGAAGGGAGGGAGGGAGGGAGGGAGGAGAAAAGAGAAAAAAGAAAAGAGGAAAGAAAAGAAAAGACAACCCTATGTATTTGAATGTATTGTGATGAAATTTATATATCTGACAGATGCAGTTTGGGACTAAATTAAATATATCAATAGATCTGCAATATTCAGTTAAACCCAAAAATCTTCTCAATTGTCATTTTGGAGGGATCTAGGATAAGCTTGGATAGCCTTTAGTCTATGAGGAGAGAGTATTTTTCCCTCTTTAGAGAGGTTAATGCCCTAAATAATGAAATGTATTCTGACAATTGTAATTTATCTTTTGAAACTTTTTGTCCCTTTCTGCTAAGGCTGACAACAAGTAAATGGAATCCTTTTCATAGGCTTCCTTGTTCTCTGAACAAAGTAGAAAATCATCTACATATTATATCAAAACAGAATCACAAGAGAAATTAGATCTTTTACATTTTGATTGAGGGTCTGGGAAAAGTAGGAGTGAACCCTTGGGGCATGACTGTCCAGCCATATTGTCCTCTCCAGGTGAGGGCAAAAAGGAGTTGACTCTCCTGGGTAGAGGCACACTGAGAAAGGCCGAGCAAATATCCCCCACAGGGAAGCACGTGGCTTCAGGAGGAGTTGAGCACAGGATGGTGTTTGGGTTAGGTACCACCAAGAAGTTACAGAAAACAATTTTGACAGAACCGAGACCTTGTACAAATCAATATGCTTTTGGTGTCTTACAGAGCATTATGGTCAGGATTGTTACAAGGGCTAGTGCAGAGCATGAGAAGACCTTTGGATATAAAGCATTCAACTGTATGTTTGCTCTGTCCTTTGCTTCTGGTTTCAAGGGATATTGAGGAGGTTTTAGGTAATAGTTTGGTAGCATCTATCTGAACTTTTAGAGGTCCTGATCCTATTATTTTGCCAATGTCAGTGTAATATTTAGCCCATAGAGCGTCAGGTACAGCAGTGAGTTCCTTATCTGGGGCGTAGGTTAAATATAATGGAGGACGCAAAGGTATATCCAGAGCAGTCCCAACTGGATTGTGAATAGAAGAACCTCTGGAACTTCAAGAAATAGTCCCTTTGGTGTGCACTTAATATTATTTTATTTTCTGGGTAAATCTCCCCTTATTAAATTTTCAGAGGTGGTATCACAGAGCAGGAAAAGATGTTTTTCAATCAAAGGCCCAAGTGTTACAGTTGAGGGATGGGAGAGAGGGAAAATCTGTGAGGGATTTGAAATATCCACCACTGTATGCTATGTTCACTCTGAAGAAAAGGTTTAGCTAAAATGTAAAACCACAAAGAAATGGACAAACTCTTGGAAAGGTACAATTTTGCAAGATTGAACCAGAAGGAATTAGAAAATATAAACAAACCTATCACAAGTAATGAAATTGAAACTGCAATTAAAAGTCTTCCAAAAAACAAAAGTCCAGGACCAAATGGCTTCACAGGCGAATTCTATCGAACATTTACAGAAGAACGGACACCCATCCTTCTCAAACTCTTCCAAAATATAGCAGAGGGAGGAACACTTCCAAACTCATTCTACGAAGCCACCATCACCCTGACACCAAAACCAGACAAAGATATCTGAAAAAAAGAAAATTACAGACCAATATCACTGATGAACACAGATGCAAAAATCCTCAACAAAATACCAGCTAACAGAATCCAACAACACATTAAAAGGATCATACACCATGATCAAGTGGGATTTATCCCAGGGATGCAAGGATTCTTCAATATATGCAAATCAATCAATGTGATACACCACATTAACAAATTAAGGAATAAAAACCATATGATCATCTCAATAGATGCAGAAAAAGCTTTTGACAAAACTCAACATCGATTTATGATTAAAAACTCTCCAGAAAATGGGCATAGATGGAACCTATCTCAACACAATAAAGGCCATATATGACAAACCCACAGCAAACATCATACTCAATGGTAAAAAACTGAAAGCGTTTCCACTAAGATTAGGAACAAGACAAGAATGTCCACTCTCGCCACTCTTATTCAACACAGTTTTGGAAGTCCTAGCCACAACAATCAGAGAAGAAAAAGAAATAAAAGGAATACAAATTGGAAAAGAAGAAGTAAAACTGTCACTGTTTGCAGATGACATGATACTATACATAGACAATCCTAAAGATGCCACCAGAAATCTACTAGAACTAAGTAATGAATTTGGTAAGGTTGCAGGATACAAAATTAATGCACAGAAATCTCTGGCATTCCTATACACTAACAATGAAAAATCAGAAAGAGAAATTAAGGAAACACTCCCATTTACCATTGCAACAAAAAGAATAAAATACCTAGGAATAAACCTACCTAAGGAAGCAAAAGACTTGTACTCAGAAAACTATAAAACCCTGATGAAAGAAATCAAAGATGACATAAACAGATGGAGAAATATACCATGTTCTTGGATT